ACTGTCAAGAGGAGTGAAACAAGGTTGTCCACTATCGGCATATCTATTTATTGTGGCCATCGAGATGTTAGCTATTAAAATCAGATCCAATAATAATATCAGAGGATTAGAAATACAGGGCTTAAAAACAAAGGTGTCATTGTACGCAGATGATTCATGTTTTCTTTTAGATCCACAACTAGAATCCCTCCACAGCCTCATAGAGGATCTAGATACATTTTCTAACCTCTCTGGATTAAAACCAAATTATGACAAATGTACTATATTACGTATTGGATCACTAAAAAATACAATTTTTACATTACCATGTAGTTTACCAATAAAATGGTCTGATGGTGATGTGGATATACTCGGAATACATATCCCAAAGGAAATAAATGATCTCACTTCAATAAATTTTAATAGAAAGTTAGCAAAAATTGATAAGATCTTACTACCATGGAAAGGAAAATACCTGTCAATTTGTGGAAAAATCACCCTGATTAACTCTTTAGTATTATCCCAGTTTACCTATTTGCTTATGGTCTTGCCTACGCCTAGCAAACAGTTTTTTAAATTATATGACAAAAAAATATTCAATTTTATTTGGAACGGCAAGCCAGACAAAATTAAAAGAGCATATTTATATAATGAATATGAATTCGGAGGACAGAAATTATTAAATATTAAAGCATTAGACCTATCACTAAAATCTTCAGTCATCCAAAAGTTATACTTAAATCCGAACTGGTTCTCAAGCAAATTAGTAAGATTGTCTCACCCACTGTTCAAGAAAGGCCTTTTTCCCTTTATTCAGATTACAACCTCTCACTTTCAGTTATTTGAAAAGGAAATAATCTCCCAAATGTCACTATTTCTAAAACAAGCCATAGAAAGTTGGTTACAATTTCAATTTAATCCTCCAGAAACGACAGAACAAATAATGCAACAAATATTGTGGTTAAATTCAAATATACTAATTGACAAAAAACCTATATTTATTGACAGAATGTTTAAAAAAGGTATAATCTTCGTAAATGATATCATCGGTAGGACTGGTGGAGTTATGTCGCACATGCAGCTAATAAAAACATATGGAAATGTCTGCTCTACCCAAAATTACAACCAAATAATTGCAGCCATACCGCAAAAGTGGAAGAGGAAAGTTGAAGGGGGAGAAAGTAAGGAACTTGTCTGTCGGCCTTGCATTAAAGAACATAATTGGTTAAGGAAAACTGTGATAAATAAAAAAGTATATCAGTTTCACTTAAGGACCAAAGGATTGACAGCAGTCCCATATAGATTGCAAAATAGTTGGGAAGAGATCTTTGACGTACCGATCCCATGGCATAGTGTTTATGAACTGACACGCAAAACGACACCGGATTCAAAAATTAGAATCTTTCAATTTAAATTATTATATAAAATTCTTGCTACCAATAGAATGTTATTTATATGGGGGATACAATCTTCCCAGCTCTGCAGATTTTGCTGTGAAGAGATAGAATCATTAGATCATTTGTTTTGGTTCTGTCCATTTGTAGCTTGTTTTTGGACACAGGTCCAGGAATGGCTAAAGGATTGCAATATTTACCTGGAACTAACCTTGCAGATAGCATTACTGGGTGATCTGAAAAGTCATAGTCAATCAATCAATAATATAATAATACTTTTAGCAAAAATGTTTATTTTTAATTCACAATCTGTAGAAGCAATGAGAATAGAAAGGTTCAGAACTTTTGTAAAACATCACAGTATGGTTGAAATATATATGGCAAATAGAAATCCTATATGGATGGTGTTAAGAGATAGATGGGAGGTATTGAATAGAGTTGAAGGATGGGACTAATAACAAATAACAACAAATAATAACAAAGATAGCTAATAATGTAAGCAAAAAAAAAAATACCCTGGAACTGTCAAATATTTCTATTTTCTAAACTGCAATTAAGTCTATCTTTTGATTATCTTTTTGTCATTGATCTGAATGGTGTGGGTTTGAATTTGCTCTTGAAGCAAGCATTTTTTTGTTTATTCGTTTTTTATCCTTGTAAATATTCCAAGTTTGGGAAAATATGACTGAGTATACTGTTTCAGGCCAATATCCAGAACATCAAAGAAAACATAATAGAGCAACAATTGTTCATTGTCCTTCCCTGTCCAATTACTGTATCAAAAATGCAATTTGAAGGAAAGAGATGCTGTAAATGTTTGTAAATGTGTCCCATTGTATATATGCATTTTTTCTCATGCATGAATGTATTACATTGCCACTTTCCCATTTAAGGTGAATTTCCAAGTCTTATATATAAACTCAGCAAAAAAATAAACGTCCCTTTTTCAGGACCCTGTCTTTCAAAGATAATTCGTAAAAATCCAAATAACTTCACAGATCTTCATTGTAAAGGGATTAAACACTGTTTCCCATGCTTGTTCAATGAACCATAAACATTTAATGAACATGCACCTGTGGAACGGTCGTTAAGACACTAACAGCTTACAGACGGTAGGCAATTAAGGTCACAGTTATGAAAACTTAGGACACTAAAGAGGCCTTTCTACTGACTCAAAAGAAAGATGCCCAGGGTCCCTGCTCATCTGCGTGAACGTGCCTTGCATGCTGCAAGGAGGCATGAGGACTGCAGATGTGGCCAGGGCAATAAATTGCAATATCTGTACTGTGAGACGCCTAAGACAGCGCTACAGGGAGACAGGATGGACAGCTGATCGTCCTCGCAGTGGCAGACCACGTGTAACAACACCTGCACAGGATCGGTACATCCGAACATCACACCTGCGGGACAGGTACAGGATGGCAACAACAACTGCCCGAGTTACACCAGGAATGCACAATCCCTCCATCAGTGCTCAGACTGTCCACAATAGGCTGAGAGATGCTGGACTGAGGGCTTGTAGGCCTGTTGGTAGGCAGGTCCTCACCAGACATCACCAGCAACAACGTCGTCTATGGGCACAAACCCACCGTCGCTGGACCAGACAGGACTGGCAAAAAGTGCTCTTCACTGACGAGTCGCGGTTTTGTCCCACCAGGGGTGATGGTCGGATTTGCGTTTATCGTCGAAGGAATGAGCGTTACACCGAGGCCTGTACTCTGGAGCGAGATCGATTTGGAGGTGGAGGGTCAGTCATGGTCTGGGGCCGTGTGTCACAGCATCATCGGACTGAGCTTGTTGTCATTGCAGGCAATCTCAACGCTGTGTGTTACAGGGAAGACGTCCTCCTCCCTCATGTGGTACCCTTCCTGCAGGCTCATCCTGACATGACCCTCCTGCATGACAATGCCACCAGCCATACTGCTCGTTCTGTGCGTGATTTCCTGGAAGACAGGAATGTCAGTGTTCTGCCATGGCCAGCGAAGAGCCCGGATCTCAATCCCATTGAGCACGTCTGGGACCTGTTGGATCGCACTTGCAGGTGCCTTGGTGGAAGAGTGGGGTAACATCTCACAGCAAAACTGGCAAATCTGGTGCAGTCCATGAGGAGGAGATGCACTGCAGTACTTAATGCAGCTGGTGGCCACACCAGATACTGACTGTTACTTTTGATTTTGACCCCCCCCCCTTTGTTCAGGGACACATTATTCAATTTCTGTTAGTCACATGTCTGTGGAACTTGTTCAGTTTATGTCTCAGTTGTTGAATCTTGTTATGTTCATACAAATATTTACACATGTTAAGTTTGCTGAAAATAAACGCAGTTGACAGTGAGAGGACGTTTCTTTTTTTTGCTGTTTATGTTTTTATTGAGTAACCATAAAAATAATATGTGATGATGAACAAAATATATTTGGATAAATACGGATTATTGAAAACGTGTATTTCATGAAATCTCTATAGGCCGTTTGCTCCTATGCAGGGGTGTAGGCTACATATACATGTTGTTGTTTAGTTGATCCACTGTGTTTTGAATGAAAGGGGGGCGAGTCTCATCTCTGTGTGGTTACTGGAAGAAGCTCGTGTCACGTGACCAGAAACGTCAACGATTCAATGGCAGCCTACTGTTTTGTAAATTAACACAAGGAACAGCTGTATAAAATACTGTTTTTAACGACAGAATCACATTTCTAAGGTAAATTTACAATTTAACGTTATCTTATTAAGCCGACAAGGTGTTAATACACTTTCTAGATGGGGTTCAGTTGCCCGATGCAAGAAAGCAATGAATGGAGAATATCGCGTGTGGTTGTAATGTGGTAGACGCTTGTGTGCTACATGCTACTCACGTAGCCCCATAAGGCTTGTCTAGCTAGCTAGATAGGCAAAGCCCACGCCTGGTTTTGGTGAAAAGGCGATGTCTAATGTGTTACCTACTACAGCTATGAACAAAGTGTGACTCATACTCTAATGAAATATATACAATATTGGCTAAGAAATTTGTATTATTTTGCTCAAAGTAACTTTCCCATTGAAGACCCCCACAGCAGACTGATGGAATGCCACACCTACCCCAACTGCGACACAATAACTGCATTGAATTGATTAACACAATTATGCAATTTGGAATCATTCAATTAGTAATTGAAGTAGCTAACTAGTTTCCCCCCACTTGTTGCCAGCACTCATCCGTTAAAGCGAACCTCCTAAATAATTGTTTTCAAATGGTAAATAACATCGCATGTAGGGTTCAGCCAATCCGTGAGTTCTGCGGTGCTTTTGTTGAGGCGATTGGATATGCCCATACTTGCATCGATGAATAAAACTCCACCATCAATAATATGGGATGATTATATTCCTTTAACAGCCTGAAATGAAACCATTGATATTATCCATTATACATCTTACAGTATGTCAAATCTTTCTAAATCAGGATCTCACAAAATGCCTCTTTGTAGATGTGTTCCTTATGCATGATCAACGTATATAAAGGCAGCATTCAGGCCTACGGGTAATGGATTAGTTTGCAATTGCAGCAAAGATAAGAATCATAATCTGTCAATATTTAACCCTGGGTTTGTCTGAGTCAGCAAGGTTAAAGATCCAGGTGCAGACTAAGACTTTGAGCTCCACGTTAATAGGCTATTTGTCTTCATAGATGGCTGAAGACAACATGGCCTCAGGTAATCGCGTTATTAATACTTTGAGTTCATAATAATGAGTAACATATCTGTTTAGTTTGTCCGGTATGTTAAACAAAGCGTTTATGTTACTATTCTTTATCATTTTGTAGGAGGTCGATTCTAGTTTAGGCTATACATGGTCCACAATGTATCGAAACAGGCAGGGATTGCCGTGCGAACCCGCAACCTTCTGGCCCGTAGCCCCACGGAAAGCAACTCTGCCACAAAAGCATGCTCCAGTGGTAGAGTCGATATCCGTGCTTATAAACCAGGGTCGCTACAATTGTATTACACTACTGAGCATAATCTAGGTTTGAGGGAGCATGTTTAGCCATGTTTTGCAGGTTCAGTCACTCTATCGTGGTTTAAACCCCTGCATCTGTGGAGTAAAACTGTGTCTGAGACAGATTAACTAACCTACTCAACAGAAGAGACAGGAGCATACTGTACCTTTGGATTTTCCCATTGTTGGGCTGCCTGTTCAGTTAATTTGTTATGGCTTTACCACCTGTATATCTCTCCCTAGACGCTGCCATGTCTCCAAAGATCACGGTGGAGCTGCTGCGGCAGCTACGGCAAGCCATGAGGAACACCAAATACATCGCTGAGCCCATCCAGGCCTACATTGTCCCCTCTGGAGACGCACACCAGGTACTGAACACACACACAAGGTCACGCACACACACGGTCGCACGCACGCAAGAACACACACATGTACACACAATTACTAATTATAAATAATTAACGATAGTTAGTATAAGTCTGCCTGACCTCTAGACATAGACAAGGTGACTTTCTAGCAGGGTCCTATCCATCTCCACATCTTTCTCTCAACTCTTTCTTTCTCTCTCTCTCTCTCTCTAATCCTCATCCCTCCCTTTCACCCTCTCTTTCACTCTCTGGTCTTGAGTCGTGATGTGAAAAGAGGAATAATTAAGATGTTATAATAACTGCTAGGGGACCACTTAAACCTGATTACTGCTGGATCTGATCTAATCTCTCTCTCTCTGTCTCTGTCTGTCTCTCTCTCTGTCTCTCTCTGTCTCTGTCTGTCTCTCTGTCTCTCTCTGTCTCTCTCTCTCGCTCTCTGTCTCTCTCTGTCTCTCTCTCTCTCTCTGTCTCTCTCTCTCTTTCTCTCTCTGTCTCTTTATCTCTCTCTCTCTCTGTGTCTGTGTGTCTCTGTCTCTCTGTCTCTCTCTCTCTCGCTCTGTCTGTCTGTCTCTCTGTCTGTCTCTCTCTATCTTTTTCCTCTTTTTCTCTCTCTCATTAGAGTGAATACATCGCACCATGTGACTGCAGACGTGAATTCATTTGTGGCTTCAATGGCTCCGCAGGTATTGTGTGTGTGTGTCTGTGTACTTGTGTCAGGATCTAGTTCCCTTGTTATAAAGGAGGTTGATATGTTGAGAACACCAGTGAATACACAAAGACAAACTATTATTAAAACTTTGGTAATGTCAGACCATATGAAATCCACACTTCATACAATACCAGGGCAGTTGTATTGTAATTTCCCATAAATGCACACCATGCTTATAACAGTGAATTTATACGCTACGCCCTAAGAAAGAACAGGACATCTATAAACAAAAAGACAGACATTTTGCTCTTATTGAATTCGGGTCAGAGATTGGACACATTGATAATCAAATGAAATAAGGCCATAGAAACAGAGAACAGTTATGTAGCCTTGCTTGACAAGCTTTGAACAGTAGCATAGTGACAACTAAAGACATTACTAAGAATCAGATATTAAGACGACATGTCTACAGGTACAGCCATAGTGACAGAGAATAGATACTGTATGTAGCCTTGATTGATTGATGACATGTCTCCAGGCACGGCCATAGTGACAGAGAAGCATGCAGCCATGTGGACAGACGGACGGTACTTCCTCCAGGCCAGCCAGCAGATGGACAACAACTGGACCCTCATGAAGATGGGTAAACAACAACAGCAGCACTCTTAGTTCTTGAATTGAAATGGCATCTGAAGACACCTAGTTGAAGCTAGTATATGTGGAACTTGGTTTCTTCTGCATCTAAAGTTCCAACTTTAAAGCAACTGCCCTTAACCACCTTAGTATAGATTGGCCAATGCTTCTCTTGATAAGACATACTACACATGGGACAGTCTGCTGTGTTTTGAAATGTGTCCGTATTTGATGGTTCATTGTGGATCTTTCCTGTCACCAGGTCTAAAGGAGACTCTTAGCCAGGAGGACTGGCTGATCAGTGTTCTGCCTGAGAACTCTACAGTAGGAGTGGACCCCTGGATCATTGCTGCTGGTCAGTAGAGCGCTACATCTCTTACGTCATATAAAATAACACAGTAATAATTATGTAATACACATTCGCAGATTGCTCCCGTTATACATGTATAGAATTACATGAATTAAATGTTGTGTACTATACTTACAGTACTAAGTATCTACCATTTTGTTCCTGGCTTTCTATCATTACATGACCTGTCGGTTGTTCCATCCAGACCAGTGGAAGAACATGTCTAAGGCCCTGGCCAGTGCAGGCCACTCCCTGGTGGCTGTTCAGGACAACCTGATAGATGCCATCTGGATGGACCGTCCAACCAGACCCTCCACTCAGCTCATCACCCTGGGCCTGGGGTTCACCGGTCGGTAGTACCACTTGGAGCAGTTGGTCTATGTCAAATACATGAAACAAATGCATTATTGACCTATTCAACATTGTAGAGGTGTTATGTATCCTATCTTGTGATTGGTTGAAAGGTAGTAGCTGTACATGTGTGTACAATGTATTGATACAGAAAGGATTTTGTTGAGCAGTGATGATGGCATGATGACATCTTCCTCAGCAATGGTTCACAATTAATCCAGGTCCTCCTCTGTTCCAGGTCTGACCTGGCAGGACAAGATGACCGCTCTAAGATCCAAGATGGCCGAGAGGAAGATCTCCTGGTTCGTTGCCACGGCGCTGGATGAGATTGCATGTATGATTCCCTTTATACTAATATAGTTACTATCACACAACACAGAGACATTTTCCTATATGATTTGTTGGTTAAGAGCTTGTAAGTAAGCATTTCACGGTAAGGTCTACACCTGTTGTATTCGGCGCATGTGACAAATAAAATTTGATTTGATTTTTACCCTAAACAGTAATTGGATTTACCATGTACAATAACACCAGCTCACTAACCCTGGTCATGTTGAGTTACAATGTGCACAGACTTTCGTTCCAACCCAGCTCTAGCACACCTGATTCAGCAAATGAAATGTCTTGATTGATGAGTAGTTGATCGGTTGAATCAGGTGTGTTAGTGCTGGGCTGGAACAAAAGTCTGCCCGACCAGTAGCTCTCCAGGATGGGTTGATGCTCTTCATTGAATGACCTCACCAAAGAGTGGTAGCAGGCACAGCCAATCGCATCGACTCCACGGTTACATTGCATAACCCTGTGAGGTAGACACGGCACCCCCTGATCACGATCCAAGGACCCTGGGGCTGTACGGGTGACCCTGTGGATGCCTGTCTGAGCACCACGTTAGCCAGCCCTAACGAGCCTATAGAGCTCTCAGAGCTGATTGGCTGGCCAGAGTGTTTGTGTTAATTAGGGAGGACAATGTTGATGTTGATTGCAGTCGTCCAGTCACTTTTAGACCAGTGTGTCTAAATGAGGGGGTTTGTCTGGGCTTCTTCCCTAGAGGGTGAAGAGGGTAACCTCATAATAATAATAATATAAATAATAATAACAATAATAATAATGACGATTATGATTATAATAATAATGAATATTATAATGATTATTATAATAATAATAATAATAATAATACACACAGTCCTAGCTAATTTATTTTGAGCTTTCAAAATTCTAACTACTGTACATACATACACTACTGAATTTGTTGAAGGAGAACAGGAAAAATCGCATCCACAAAACAGGTGTAAAGTGGTAGTCTTTTAACTGTGTTACTCTTCCCAGGGCTGTTCAACCTCCGTGGCTCTGACATCGAGTACAACCCTGTTTTCTTTGCGTATGCCATCGTTGGAATGAACACAATAAGGTAAAATACATAAATGAATCTAAAATAACATAAAAACACTTTACTTTCTTTCCAGACTGTCCTTTCTCTGACACAGCATAGAATGCACAACATAGTTTGACCTCCCATGAGAAGTAGGTCATGAATCTGACCTCTAACCTCTGACCTCTCCTAGGCTCTTCGTGGATGTCAAGCGTCTGGCCGAGCCGACGGTGAGGGAGCACCTTCAGCTTGACACACCCTCTAAGGCGGAGCTTAGCATCCAGACTGCCCCCTACGAGTCTGTGTTCACGGAGCTGCAGGCCGTGTGTGCCTCCCTGGGGCCCAAGGAGAAGGTGTGGATCAGCGACAAGGCCAGCTGCGCCCTCACGCAGGTCATCCCCAAGGTGAGAGAGTGCGACTGTGGAATGTCTGACACAAAATGGCTGTTGTGGGTGCTCATGCAGGTTATTCCCAAGGTGAGAGAGTGCGAATGTCTGACACAAAATGGCTGTTGTGGGTGCTCATGCAGGTTATTCCCAAAGTGAGAGAGTGCAACTGCATAGTCAGGCACAAAATGACCACTGTGCATAGCTATATCACACTGGTGGATGGGGATGAGTTACCCCCAAACAATGTAAAGTAATTTGTCGTAAAGAAAAGCTCTACCTTTCTGTTAATACATGTAGGCCTATTTAGTAAAATGATATGTGTAACATAAGGTACCTACTAATTAATTGCTTTGTTTTTCTGTTTTGTCCACAGGCCCACCGGTCTCCTGTCCCCTACACTCCTCTCTGCCTCGCCAAAGCTGTCAAGAACGCCACCGAGATTCAAGGGATGAAAATGGCCCATGTAAGTTACGTTTGACCTTTTGACCCCTAGATGTATTTCATTTGATTTCAGACATCATAAAATCTCCATAAATGTATCAACAACCAGCCATTGATCATGTTTGACTTTTTCTCCTCAACCACAGATCAAGGATGCTGTCGCCCTTTGTGAGCTCTTCGCTTGGTTGGAAAAAGAGGTACTATATATTGTTTGCACCTTACACCTTTAAAAAAATATATATATATTTTCCAGTAGTTTTGTAGCTGAATGTAGTATTACAGTTTTATGATTACAGACTTTTTGGCTGTGACAGTGTTGCCATGGCTACGTGTCATGACCTGCGTGGTGGTTGTTTTATAGATTCCAAAAGGCACAGTGACTGAGATCTCTGCAGCAGATAAGGCTGAGGAGTTACGCAGGTGGGGGTCTCCTTTTCACTTCAACCATAAAATAACAAAACTATGTAATAACACAATCTGTGATCTGCAATCTGTTTCACTCCAACTTCACTTATTATCCTGGATCTTTAGATTTAGATTTGATAGGTTCTGTGCAGTCACTACACAGTGAAAAATAATTTCTGAAGCACAAGGCAATAGGACAATGGGAAGATCTCAATTGCATACTCCTCATCTCTTTCTCAAAACCGATTGGAGGAGAAGGACAGAGGGGAGGGACCTCTGGCTTTCTCATCCAATGGGTTTTGAGAAGGAGACAAGGAGAGAGTAGAGAGGATGCAAGGATATTCCCAGTGAGTAAGAGGTTTTTGCATGAGAGGGATATTTAGCATTTTAACTCCCTCTATTGAAACAATTAGGAACTGTATGTTCCTACTGCAACTCTGTGTTGCATCGTGCTTAAGAACAGCCCTTAGCCGTGGTATATTGGCCATATACCACACCCCCTCAGGCCTTATTGCTTAAATATTAATGTGTTTTATGTGGTTTTAGCCAACAGAAAGACTTTGTCGGGCTCAGTTTTCCATCCATTTCCAGTGTTGGACCAAACGGGGCAATCATTCATTACAGGTATCTTTGTTTATTGCATTAATGTAACTTTATTACAATGTAATTAATGTAAAGTTGTCTATAATCATGTTTTTGATAACTGATTTGTATTTATGTACTTATTTTTCTTGTCCTCCTATAGTCCCCTCCCTGAAACCAACAGAACTCTCTCTTTAAATGAAATCTACCTCCTTGACTCTGGAGCCCAGTATATGTAAGCAATAATCCTACATGTAATAATGCTACACATAATCCTACATGTAATAATGCCACACATAATCCTACATGTAATAATGCCACACATAATCCTACATGTAATAATGCCACACATAATCCTACATGTAATAATGCCACACATAATCCTACATGTAATAATGCCACACATAATCCTACATGTAATAATGCCACACATAATCCTACATGTAATAATGCCACACATAATCCTACATGTAATAATGCCACACATAATCCTACATGTAATAATGCCACACATAATCCTACATGTAATAATGCTACACATAATCCTACATGTGATAATGCTACACATAATCCTACATGTAAGCATGGCATTCACTAAGACATGTAATAATGTGACACATAAGAAAAGCACGTTACAAATACAACTTAGTATTATTATTATAATAAGTTCTGGTGATTTATAGTGACGGAACAACAGACGTCACCCGCACCATGCACTTTGGATCCCCCTCTGCTTATGAGAAGGTAACAGTTCTCCATATGGCCTCTCCTCTCATGCTACAGCATATGACAGAGGGAAAGTCCCAGTGTTATGTTCATTGACCTATGGATTTTCTCTCTGTATCTCAGGAAACCTTCACCTATGTTCTGAAAGGACATATAGCCGTCAGCGCTGCCATTTTCCCCAACGGAACCAAAGGTGAGACCTTGTTGTTTATGGAGTGCTCAAGATTGCCAGTGTTTGTTTTTAAATGAATAATATGTGAAATGTAAACTACCTCCACTCCCTCCTCCTCCACCCCTCCACCCTTAGGCCACCTGCTGGACTCGTTTGCCCGCCAGGCGCTGTGGGAGTCTGGGCTGGACTACCTCCATGGTACAGGCCACGGGGTGGGATGTTTCCTCAATGTCCACGAGGGACCCTGTGGCATCTCCTACAAGACCTTCGCCGACGAGCCCTTGGAGGCAGGCATGATCGTCAGCGATGGTGGGTACACACACACATATGGACGTACACGCACTCACATACACACACGCAGGCACGCATACACACACACTCACTATCATGCATGCATGCATACACAAACACACAGACAATTTAACTACAGTGGGGAGAACAAGTATTTGATACACTGCCGATTTTGCAGGTTTTCCTACTTACAAAGCATGTAGAGGTCTGTAATTTTTTATCATAGGTACACTTCAATCCAGAAAATCACATTGTATGATTTTTAAGTAATTAATTTGCATTTTATTGCATGACATAAGTATTTGATCCATCAGAAAAGCAGAACTTAATATTTGGTACAGAAACCTTTGTTTGCAATTACAGAGATCATACGTTTCCTGTAGGTCTTGACCAGGTTTGCACACACTGCAGCAGGGATTTTGGCCCACTCCTCCATACAGACCTTCTCCAGATCCTTCAGGTTTCGGGGCTGTCGCTGGGCAATACGGACTTTCAGCTCCCTCCAAAGATTTTCTATTGGGTTCAGGTCTGGAGACTGGCTAGGCCACTCCAGGACCTTGAGATGCTTCTTACGGAACCACTCCTTAGTTGCCCTGGCTGTGTGTTTCGGGTTGTTGTCATGCTGGAAGACCCAGTCACGACCCATCTTCAATGCTCTTACTGAGGGAAGGAGGTTGTTGGCCAAGATCTCGCGATACATGGCCCCATCCATCCTCCCCTCAATACGGTGCAGTCGTCCTGTCCCCTTTGCAGAAAAGCATCCCCAAAGAATGATGTTTCCACCGCCATGCTTCACGGTTGGGATGGTGTTCTTGGGGTTGTACTCATCCTTCTTCTTCCTCCAAACACGGTGAGTGGAGTTTAGACCAAAAAACTCTATTTTTGTCTCATCAGACCACATGACCTTCTCCCATTCCTCCTCTGGATCATCCAGATGGTCATTGGTAAACTTCAGACGGGCCTGGACATGCGCTAGTTTGAGCAGGGGGACCTTGCGTGTGCTGCAGGATTTTAATCCATGACGGCGTAGTGCGTTACTAATGGTTTTCTTTGAGACTGTGGTCCCAGCTCTCTTCAGGTCATTGACCAGGTCCTGCCATGTAGTTCTGGGCTGATCCCTCACCTTCCTCATGATCATTGATGCCCCACGAGATGAGATCTTGCATGGAGCCCCAGACCGAGGGTGATTGACCGTCATCTTGAACTCCTTCCATTTTCTAATAATTGCGCCAACAGTTGTTGCCTTCTCCCCAAGCTGCTTGCCTATTGTCCTGTAGCCCATCCCAGCCTTGTGCAGGTCTACAATTTTATCCCTGATGTCCTTACACAGCTCTCTGGTCTTGGCCATTGTGGAGAGGTTGGAGTCTGTTTGATTGAATGTGTGGACAGGTGTCTTTTATACAGGTAACGAGTTCAAACAGGTGGAGTTAATACAGGTAATGAGTGGAGAACAGGAGGGCTTCTTAAAGAAAAACTAACAGGTCTGTGAGAGACGGAATTCTTACTGGTTGGTAGGTGATCAAATACTTATGTCATGCAATAAAATGCAAATTAATTACTTAAAAATCATACAATGTGATTTTCTGGATTTTTCTTTTAGATTCCGTCTCTCACAGTTGAAGTGTACCTAGGATAAAAATTACAGACCTCTACATGCTTTGTAAGTAGGAAAACCTGCAAAATCGGCAGTGTATCAAATACTTGTTCTCCCCACTGTATTTCTCTCTGTCTGTTTCTTTCCGTCTCTGTCTGTTTCTCTCTCTCACATACACACCTGAACTTGCCTCCTTCCTTTCCTCAGAACCTGGGTACTATGAGGACGGCTCCTTTGGCATTAGAATTGAAAACGTTGTCTTGGTGGTGCCAGCAAAACCCAAAGTAAGAGATTGACTGAATAAGTATAAAATGAAGTGAAGTGAAGAATGAGTTGATGTCTATGGAGACAGATTGACTAAGTGTAAAGTGGATAGAGTGGAGAATGAGTATTTCTATTTGTGGTAAGACATTGACTGAATAAGTGTAAAATGAAGTGTGAACACTGGAGTGAAGACCATGTGACCTTTGTGTCTGTGTCCTCAGTACAACTACAGAAACAAGGGTAGTCTGACGTTTGAGCCTCTCACTCTGGTCCCCATCCAAGCCAAGATGGTGAACACAGATCTTCTCACCCAGAAAGAGGTCAGTCTTGGTCCTCATTCTTTGGAATTCATATTTTACCAAACACACTGTTTCTTTAGGAATTATCATTCATTTATTTATACTAAAATAAAGCACTAATTTATTTCTAATAAAAAAGCTGTAAAATGTAAACATAGCACTTGAAACTTGGGTAGAAATACTGTAATGGTTGGTTGAGTTGAATGAAGGGACAATCTTTGTTTCAAATCAGTTTTGCCATATGAGATAAGGAAGTCTTCAGGAAATATCCAAATATCCACGGGTGCTCTTTGAAACCGGGGAAATTGATCAGAAATAGTTCTGCCATTTTGTATGATATCACTATGTGTGTGACACGCTCTCCTCTCTTCCTGCAGCGTGATTGGGTGAACGAGTACCACAGGCAGTGCCGGGAGACGATTGGAGCAGAGCTGCAGAGGCAGGGCCGCAAGGAGGCTCTGGATTGGCTGATCAGGGAAACCCAGCCAATCGCCTGAAGGCTAATCTGTGACTGACTCTTATTTAATCCAATGGTATTGCCCAGGAGTATGATTGATAGATCGATCGATCAGTTGATTGCTCATCTCAGCAGTGATTATCTTTTCTTTTGATATTTTCTCTGAGAAGCTATTATCTATCGTTCTGGTCTCTGTGTATTTCACGCTACGCTTATTTTCTAAAGCACACCATCCATGTCTGAACTGTTTTATGACGATTAAATAAAAATCTCAAGTGTGGAAAAAATTAACTTTCACAACTTCCAAATAACTTCATCAAAGTTCATCCACTTTAGACAGTTGTTTCCAAAATTGTGGACAATGTGTACTCCTCCACCTTACAAACTTGAATAGGACAACAAAAATGTAAAACACCCCTCCTATGAAGTGGAACATTCCACCTTCCTCTAGAGCTGCATGTAAAAGTTGGGTGGGTCCAGGATGATACCACTATTGGGATCGTTGGCGTAGTCCTGAAAAGTTGGCTCTTGCTCCTTCGATCCACCGGGGGTGATATTCTGGATATTGTCCTCTTCCTCCATCCCTATGGGTAGAGGGTTACTGTAGATGTAGTAGATTCTAGAGTTGTCCTTAGGTGCATCCTGTTTTCTGAAGAATGAGAGAGGGTTTCTGAAACTGGTGGATCTCTTGACGGCTCTGATGTCCACCGGGTTGACTGGTACTTCACGAAGCACAGCACTCTCATACATAAGGGCCCTCTTGGACAGCCTGAAAGAGGGGGGGGGGGGGGGTGGAGAGATATGTAATGCGCTTTCAGGGAACTGTGGGACATTCTATGTGTTCTTTCATGTCATTTTAAACCAATGCATTAAAATGTCCGTCATTATTTTGTGTGTCCCACCAACATGGCAAAAACTGTTGCTGTAAAAGACCATGCAGTTTCATCATATGTCCATGGAGTGGCACTGTTCAGCTGTGTTAAATGTAGAGCGGGACAGTGAGGAAAAGACTACACCAGAGGAAGATTGGCTCATTATAATGACTGGAATGGAATCAATGGAACGGTATTAAACACATCAAACATGAAAACCACATGTTTGACTCCATTCCATTGATTCCATTCCAACCATTCCAATGAGCCAGTCCTCCTATAGCTCCTCCCACCAGCCTCATATTAGATTACCAAATATTTAGTTTGCTTCAATGAAGCCTAATGAGTGAGAGTCATTACTAAGATTACTTTAGTTGAGGATGCCAACATGACTCAGAGAGGTAATTATAAGGCAGCGATATTAACATGACCCAGAGACAGGTAACCTCATGCGACTGTGACAGGAGATGCAAAGCAAGAGGTATGACTCTGCCCAAAATCTGTCCACAAAAATATTTCTATGGAGGTCAAAAAGAGAGTGTTGAATTTTGGTCAATAAAACATTTAATTGCTAATTTGCTAAGTGAGGCTTATTTGATAAAATAGACGTTTCGTAATGGTTAGGTTGTTACGAATGCACTGATATAAGTGGACACGTGGCATTTCTGCAACTTACCCAAAAACGACTTTATATTGGATATGTGCCTGTTGTGATAGAGATAGATAGAGGACTCATCATGGTTTTAACCTGTTTTAGCATAGACATTGCCATTGAGGGCTTCCACCATTTTAAAGTAGTAAACTGAGTGGGGATTCCTATGAGTTGGGAGAAATCAGCCATTGGAGTAGACAATTTGCTAATTTTAAATAGAGATGCTCTCACAGACGCTATAATGGCACAGATACAACGATGAGTCCTCTATTTATATCTATGGCTTGTTTACACAATTATCTGCCCTCTCATTGGCTAGAATGGTCCCACCTGATCTCGCCTCCTTCTTCCTGCTATCTTTGAGGACATATCCAATATCTTGTCAATATAATAAACAATAGTTTCATATGTAGTACAGAGCATTATGGGTATTGTAGTACATCAAGCCTTACCGTCTGCGGTTGTGACAGGATATGCTGCAGAACAGGCCAGTGATGGTGAGAACACACAAGGCTAGAGACATTAGGATGATGTTGAACACCTTGAACTCTGGAACAAGAAAAAACAGAACAGGTGACTATGGTGACCATATTCTGAGAAGAGGGGAAAACAAGTGAAGACTAGGGTCCACCTTCATTTCAAGTAAAACGCTTAAACTTATTCAACACACAATGTCACACTCAACCAAAAACATTCCCAATTCAACTTACAAATGAAGAGGCTAAGTTTGGATTCAACAGTGACCCTTCATACAATATGTTTGTAGATACCAAAAGCAGGCCTATAGTTTACCTTACCTACCATGCAATGCTGCGTTCATATCCTGGTCGACCGTGGTGAGAGCTGCGGTCCTGTTCATATCAAATGCCATCACCGTCACACTGCTGTGGTTGTGGGTCCCAATCCCACTCATGTTGTTGCCATTGGCATCCACCACATAGACTGATCCCAGGCTTCAAGCTCCACTCGCGGATTTCAAAAGCCCTCAACACCATGTGACTCGCCCCAACTATTCTTGGCTCTGTTCTGTCGTCGTGGAAACTTGGCACCCCTCTTTAGTCGCACCCCAGTCTTTGTTTTGTACCCTTTTTAGTTATTGTACCCCTCTGCCCCCTCCATCTCTCCATACACCCCTCATTTACATATTATTAGTATTCTCTCCATCTCTGAGGGACAGTGAGAGTGAGAGAGAAGGAGAGGGGGATAGTGATGGAGGGAGGAGGGTGGATGGGTAACAGTCTAAATACTAATGGTAGGTTCTGAGTGGTGCCCCACTACATTAACAGGGAACTACAGTACTTTAGGCCTCTTGGGTTGAACAACAACAACACCAACATTTCCCTCAACACCGCCACCCACTTCAGTAGAGACAAGATATGTTGTGTTCATGTTCTGACATTATAATTGGTTTCAGCTAATGAACCCAATAATAGCAATATGTTGCAATATGGGCTCTATAAGACAGAAGTCCATCATGTTCAATACATCACGTATCGGCTTCTCTTCATCATGTCTTGTCAAACAAGGAACACACTGTCTGTGTCCCAAATGGCCCCTATCCCTAACTAGTGCACTACTTTTGACCAGAGCCCTTGTCAAAAGTAGTGCACTTTATAGGGAATAGGGTCCCATTTGGGGGGCACGCACTGTATTGCATTGGAACACATTGCGTAATAGCCTGGCTATCTCCAGTAGCGTTCCAGTGTGAAATGAAGCATGAAGAGTTGGTAGAGGAATAGAATGCTCTCTTTGTCTCTGTCTGTGAAACCATGGATACAACCTGGATATAGAAGTCATTATTATGATTCTTGGTATTCATTCACTCAACCAAGCCATCTCCCATCGATCTATGACCATTTTATTTGGGGTTCATCACTTTCCAGTGTATGTGTGTCTATAGTTCATAGGTCGTCATTAGGCCCTTGTGGATGTATCAAATCTACATCAGGCCTACTGTCCAATGTCCATATCTGTGAATAGGAAAACATCTCAATCTCCCCTGATACTTCTAGAATAATCCCATCATAGTGGATGATATCGTATATTTTCCATGCTCATCTTCAATACTGTTTTGGACATGTTTGACAATATCACAGCCCCCGGCCGCTCCATCCAATGCCAGACATGTATTAATAGATTGTCCCAGTAGAAGTTCAGTAAACATCTTCCTACTCTTTCCTCTTGTTCTCCTGGGGCTGTCTTCATGGTCATATCATCCCACCAACAAGTTTATTGTGATGAGTCTGGCTTCAATCCTGGTTAGAGAGATGGAGGGATGGATGGAAGGAGAGAGAGGGAGAAATGGTGAGAGAAATGGTTATACAGAAGCAGACAGAAATAGAAAGAGGGAGAAGGGTAGAGAGAGAAAGAAATAAGAGGAGAGAGAGAAAGAAAGAACCCACTGGACTTGGGAGTCTAGCGGGACAGTTCTCTAGACATAGGGGGGTCTGTTCACCTCATGGGAAATCAGTGCCTTGCTCTTCTCTCCGCAATGAGCCAATGGAACGTGGGAGAAATAGTTTCTTTGTGAACTCTCACTGCTGCTTATTTGACTGTCCTGACCGAGACCAATTGGACAGCAACCAAACTGGCTACTGTAAACTGGACGGACAGTCATAGCCCGCTAGATAAGTGCTGAGTGTGATTGGTCAATTTGCCTGAAACAATAACAGAATACTGACATGGTAAATATTCAATAACAGCAATTAAATAATGTGGATGTCAAATTAAAAATCTCCTATGTTATCCTTGGCTGTGATATCTTATTGTAGGACCTTTTGGAATTTGAAAGAGGAATAGTTTTTACTTTATCATCCACTAGAGGTCAGTATTTGTCATTAAACTACTGTTGTTGTAAGATGTTGTACCTTTAATGCTGGTCCAGGATCAGATGTTTCTTTTCCACCTTATAGTTGTGGATAGGATTGAAGAATAGGTCATCTGATCCTAGATCTGCTGTTAGGGGAAAGTTCTTCCTCAAGCCAGTTTGCACAAGTTTTGGGTACCCAGATATGTAAAGCACATTACGTCTACATTGAGGACATGCTGCTGAGTTGAGTGACAGTTATAACCTGTATATGTTACAGTAATAACATAACACACTGTAGTGTATATGTTACAGCTGTTAAGGGAAGCTAATGAGCAAAAACAGCAGTATGGAGACAGATTGACTGATAAGGAAATCAAGCATGACACTGGCCTCTTAAATGTGTTTATTTACCTACTTACACTGTTTGATATTTTATTATACCATAGCCTATACTGGAGTCTAACTGTTTTGATCTGAGGGTTTGTGTGTGGCAGTGGATGGTAAGGTTTATTTGAGCTGCACTTGGTATTCATAAACTATGCACCTTACAAGAACAACCGTGGGAAGGAGAGTCTATATTCTAACTCCATTTACAATTGTGTTAAAATATTAACACGTTTGAATGTGCTAATATGTCACACAAGCATGCACGCACGCCACTTAATGCACCATCGCTCAATCATATGGCCATGAGCTGCCATTTTGTGCCCTAGTTTACGCCAAGCCCTATAGCATTCCCCTCACACCATAGTGAAGTGGCTACATGTGGTTGCTTTTAATACAGTTTATTTGGGCAAGTGGTGCAGGAATTGTATTTTATGAGGAGGGAAAGTGTCTGGGGTAATTATTTGTGTAAACCTTATTCCTCTTGACGTACTTTGTTGAGTAAATAAGCCAAGTTTCTGTCAGAGAGAGTGCCAGGTAGTTCCAGCTTTGGCATGGTAGATTGTACGTGTTTAACGTTGTCATTAACGTCGTCATTACTCCTCACCCGTCTGCCTCGCTCCTCCTCACCCTCCCCTCCCCATTCCGCACATCCATCCTCCTACCCCACTCCTCACCCCATACCCTCGCCCCTCCTCCCCTTCTCACCCTGTAGTCTATGTTTATGGAAAAGCTGGTAGGGAATTAGTGTTGTGACATGGTACATTTGTTCTGATGCGGTTCAATGGCAAGGGCAGACTATTGATTTATAGCACGTGTCAGTTGTAATACCCAGGATACTTGTTAACCATAGGGCACTGCCTGAGTACACACTACTCTTATTTGCATGGGTACAGAACCGATAAATGCTGTTTATCCAGTCATCTGTTGGTTCTAGAATCCCACTTTATCTTGTTATACATCATCAAGCAATTCATCCAGCATCTACCTACTTTCAATTGATTAATAGGTGCCAATATATTATATTATATATGATATATTATGATATTGTACGCCGACTGTCTGGTGAACGTAGCCTCAGTGGACCTATAGGAGAACATTTTGAAGATCAAATCTTCAACAACATATTGTACTGTTTCTGTATGTTGCCTACACATTTCCATTTTTTTTCTATGACCATTTACAAATAGAAGGCATTGAGACCAGCTTAACATGACCAGTTAAACCCCCCCACTAATCTCACTGTATTCACCCATAGCAGAATGGGAGCCACCAAGGACCATTGAAAACCCAGACAGTCAAGACAATGATTTAATGATTCCTGCTGTCATCGCCGTTCCATCCTATTGAATCCATACACATGGCACATGGTCATATGTCATGTATAACAGGTCCCAGTTTAACACACACACACACACACACACAAACACACACACACACACAAACACACACACACACACAGGTCCCAGTGTGACTGTATCATATATCAGAGAGGGATTATACATGGTGCTTGACCCATAAACTCTGTTAATGCACTGCCTCCACGATCCTGTCTGACCTATACATACTGTTCGGATGCCAACAAGAGCTTTGTAGCCATACACCGAAATACATATCCAGCTAAGCTTTAACGTTATATTTAATGTAATTACTCTTTACGAAAATCCCTGTTTTCATAAACAATATAGCCCTCTGTGATCCCATAATATAGAAAAACATAACTTAATGGATTCCTAGAATATCTGTTGCAATCCATGGCTTTACTATATCCCTTACCTCATCCTTCACACAGTTAAAGCATACGGCGATGGACAAATGAAGATCCTTGTAACCCCACAGGGAGGTTGTAACTTGTACCAGATGTGTAGGAGAAATCAGTGTGAGCAAAGATCATACATGAATCAGAAAGATATGCTTCTTATTTAGTGGTGAATCATTTTACCAAAAATTATCAAGTTTGTGTGTGTCGGCCTTCCAAAAATAATTATTACTTTTCTGCCGAAGTTATTCTGTCTGGAGAGAAGCATTCATTTTGACCAATATTTTTCCATTAGATAACGCTTTAGGATACCCAACAAAGCTGAAATGATTCTATCAATCTCTACACATCTATCAATCTCTACCTATCTTACCCACCAGAAAGCTATCCACTAAAATGCCATTACATGTCTGACTGTCTGTCTGTCTGTCTGTCTGCCATAACTCAATACAACCACGGGGGCATGGATCATAGATCATCCAAGCACCCCCAATGCTCCTTCCTTCCCGGCCCAGCTCAGTGCACTGTTGGCTGGGTACCAAGCCCTCCTCGACCCCTTGAGGATAGCCAGGCCTACTATTCTGGCTGGTGGTAGCAAATACAGTTGGGTTGGAAGTGGACGTGGAGACACTGTGGGAACTAAAAGAAGAAAACACTTGTTGCTGTGTTTTGGACTGTTCCTAGTGCGACTAGGTCCTTTTGCTGTTAGGGCTTGTTGCTTGTTGCTAGGCTTGTTGCTTGTTGCTAGGCTTGCTTGGTATTGAGATGGATGTAAGCTGACTATCTGGCAGAGGACTGTAGGGACCTTGATTCATGACAAGAAATGTTAGATAGGCTAGATACATTCAAGTATAACTCAACAGTCTTGGCATCTGTTGTGATGCAAAGTCGTCCTCTTAGTGGAAATTGTAATGACAGCGAACACTTGGTAGCCTACGTGCCATGACACAGCCCAAATGTTCTCCAAGTGGAGGGCCTGACATTGTGTGTTTGTACGTTTCTTTGTCT